CTCTCTCTCTCTCTCTCTCTCTCTCTCTCTCTCTCTCTCTCTCTCTCTCTCTCTCTCTCTCTTCCTCCCACTTCTCTCATTCCTTCAAATCTCTTTAACCCTTACCCCTTCCATCACCCCTTCTCTTCCGTGGCATATGACTAACCTCTACCCTCACCTGGTACATTGTCAGGGAACGAACGGGAAGGAACTTAGTCCTCACTTGGTGGAAAGCGAGGGCAAGGGAAGGGTTGTCCGTCCCTTGTGCCACCAAGAAGGAAAGGATACGGGACTATTGGGAGCATTTGCGAAAGTGAAAAGGAGTGCTGAATTTGGACGAGGTCAGTTTGACTCAACCATCTTCCCGGACTGCATGACTAAGGCGAATGCATGGCTTGCTTGAGGGAAGGGAAGGACAACCAAAGGATCATCGATGGGCAATGAAAACTTAGGCTTGCGGGAAGCGACGGTGTGTTGACCCCAACGGGGATTGCATTTGGTCCATGATTCGTATGGTGTTGTGCAGGTGAGTAGCTTGGGATGGGTATTGAGCGTGACTGGATCTACCGAGAAACAACGAGGGAAGGACTTGGGGCTTTGCATGGGCCATGGAAGTGGGAAGGTTCTTTGATGATTGAAAGCATAGGTGCACATTAAACCATGAGATGCGACGTCGTGTGATGATTGAATGCAAAGGCGCTCTTGAATGCAATGCGACCCCTGAAAGGAGTAAGGGCAGTCTTGAATAGGTGACACGACGCTAGTGGCTCTCGCAAAAAATATATATATAGAGGCTAGGGGAGCGGGCGACGCCGCCTTACCCCAAGGATGCCGTCGGGGTTGCTTAGAGCTGCTAAGCTTCGTGAAAGGGTGCGTGGCCCAATGGATGACGCTTGGCCTGCGCACGATAAGAAGACAAACTCTCAACGAACTCCCTGGACTGCTTGTGTATTGGAAGGAGCAATTGCCTGGCCAGACTTAACTAAATCGATAAAATGCCACGAGTGCCAAAGAGCTACCATCTTGACGCGAGAGCGGAGTTACATCCCCCAATGTAAAGCCCTCTCGCATGCGGCCCACCCCCATCCATCTCATAGCACTAGGTGGGGGTGCCCCTGGGACAAACGACCCGCGCCCTGAGCGTGCGCGTGGGCGAGTCGAGCCAAATGGGACCCGCAACGGGGTCGACTTAGGCTCGAAAGTCCTTCAGGGTACGGCCCCTACAAAAATGGTGGAGGCGCCGGGTAGTTGGTTAAATTGACCCCCACGATCTCGAGCGGGGCGCCCGACGCATGACAGAGAACACAAACGTAAAGATAAGGAATACGGACTTGTGTATGCTCTATCCCTTGAGAGAAACAGATTTGAGGGTGGCTGGGCGCATGGCAAGGGCAGGCGTGGAGGAAGAACATGCATGTTTGCACTTTTACTCAGTCATCTTCCTTGGAGATGACTCTAGTCCTCCTCCTCTTGGACTGATGTTCGTCAGGCCGGGGAAGCCTTGGGCAAGCCACAGGTCGACCCTTCCTCTTCATGTGAAAGAAGGGCTCCGGTTACCTGGCAGGCGGTTGGGATTCCGGGCCAGTCCGGGTTCCAATGAAAATCCCGCGGCGGAGTGATCCGACCGACCTGGGTGCTTCTCTACTTCTCTTCGAGCCCAGCGGGCTCCGTGCACCGCACTTAAATGCTTGAAGGAACCTCATATGAACACAAACGGTAATAAAAAAGGAACAATCCTGCCCTATGAACGGACACACAAGTGAAGATGAAGGGAATGAAGGGAGTTGCTAGACTCCAGGGAAAAACTACCTCCCCCTTGAAGATGCTCACGAAAAGGAACCGGGCACTATGTATGGAAAGTAGGGGTGAGTGGCACATGCGGTCCGGAGAGAAAATTTGTGAGCTATGGGTAGGAAGCGCTGGGTGCACCAGGGGAAAGGCACTTCTGTTATGCGTGTCCCACTTGGGACTTGTGATTGCATGATCGGGATTTCGAGCCTCCTGCCATTCGGAAGGAAAGGATTGGTTTGCGCCGGGCGGTGCGGGATGTGAACTGGTCGTCCTCTTTGAAGTTCACCAGGTTCCGTGTGTGGGGGTCGGGCCACCGGACTGTCAGGCAAGGGTTGGTCTCGTCGGCTGATTAGTAGCATTCTCACTCGAGCGGTCCGAGCATGGCTCGATGACCTTGCCCAGGCGGGATGTGAAACTTCTTCAGGCGGGGCGGCTGCTTGTAGGCAGACGGCAGGGGGACCGCTGCATATGGGGCAAGGAAGGAGCCTCGGAGGCGATTCAAAGCTTCACGTAGCATGGCTTGGGAAAAACTGTTCCTTATCGGACCGATGGAAGTGAATGCCTGGACAGGTGGCTCCAATGGCCCTACCGAGATGTGCGGGGTGATTCCCGAGATTAACGGTGGGTACACGAGCGGCAAGTCGGGATGGGGTATTCTGGGTAAGATGGAAAGGGCGAATGCCTTGCCGAGACCTGGGTACCGCGCTCGCGACGGTTGAGCTGTGCTTGAGGTATGGGGTAAAGCCCTGCCGATAATAACAGTGGAGAGACCGTTTCCGGGGAAAAGGCCAGTGAGGAGATGACCGACCTGTGTGTGATGTCTGCATGAGTTTTTTCTTTTGTGCCTCCGTCTGTAAAGTTGCCTGACGAATGTTGGAAGGGGAACTAAGCTTCTAGTCTATTCTCGACGCCTGCCTAAGTCTGCACGAGTGAGAGAACATGAGGAAGAGGCTGGATAGGAGTCGGGAGAAAGTGGAACTAAGGATGCGAGCCACGGGTGATCGATTGGGGGCATGGTAGGGCAATGGTACCTGGGAAATGGATAAGGGAGGTTAGGGAGACCCGGATGAGGGGTCTGAAAACAACCCTCATCCAGAAAAAGGAAAAGCAAATCATCTGACCATGAAGGGCCGTGTGGTGCTCTCATGTGAAAAACAGGACAGGCACCGGGAAAACAAGATGGCGCGATGGTCGTCGCCTCCTGTCTACTCTAGTGATCCGGAAATGCCTATAGAAGTAAGGGATGGGGTATCTGTTGTTCTCCCGGAAGAAGGGACATGGACCGACCTAGAACCAGCCTATGAAACCGTGATGCTGGACAAGAAGGACGCGTTCCTCTGGATAGAGACAATTTGGACGAAGATCAGCCTGACAAGACTCTCGCCTAGCTTGATGGACCTAGAATTCCGGGGAACAGTGGAAGCTCGAGGATGGATCTACCTATCTCAAGAAATGGAAAACGCAATGGTAGTGGGACTAGTATTGGGTACGGCACCGGATCAGTTGTTTAGGCAAGCGGAACGGGAAGTGGTATGGGCAGCGTGTCAGCGGGCAGAAATGGAGATGGAAAGGATGGAGGTGCGAGTGGAACTCGGGGACCGGGAACATATGAGACGTCCTCTTAGGACAATGAGGTGCGTGCTACCTCCGTTTCTGGTGGATGCAGTCTTTGGGACCAGGGATAGACTGGAACGTATGTGCCAATCGATGACACGCCTGAGGCTGTACCAATGTGCTAGACAAGACTTCTTTAGATTGTCGGTGGAAGCAGGGCCGTTTGAAGGAAACTGGGCGGAAGAATTAGCTGAGGTGCTAAACCTCCTCAGTGCGGATGAAGTCTTAGTTCCTAGTCCGGTGCATTGGCAGATAATCTACCGAAGCTTGGCGGCGGGGGAAACCTTCTTGGAAGGGGTAAAGGAGATGTTCTTAGACGAGGAGGAGAATTTCACTGATGAGGAGGACGGGGACGAGATAGAAGACTGGGACTTCTGAAGGGGGTGGCTTACCTGGGAAAAACAGGTTGTCGACTATGTGCAGGTAGGGAGCGATGGACCGGGAACTCGAACCATGGGACTGCACATGGGAACCAAGACGAGTCGGGAGGGGGGTAGAGATGTCGGTACCGCCGAGCAATGAATAGAAGGGGACCACGTGTGATTGGCAGGGATACGAGATTGTGCCGGAGCTATCATACCTATGGATAGAGCGTGTCTGGAACCCGTTGAGAGAGGAGGAAGGATGGGAAGAGATTGCGGAAGGAAGGGTGGAATTAGTCGGGACGGTCGTCCTCTCTGAACAAGGTTGGCACCTGTTCTGCACAATGCTCGCGGCAGGACAGAACCCGATGTGGCTTTTAGGGGACGTTGAGGCAAGGGCTCGACAGGCGGGGGAAAGGTTTGCTAACAAGGGTTGGGATACGGTCAGCAGTAGAGTCGTGATGGGAGGATGGAAGGAATTTAAACCGCCCGGCACCCGAACCAAGATCCGGGTGCCCGAGTTCGTGGCGGACTGGTTTGGGGGCTTTGATCATGTAATAGAGGTGGCGGACACGATGGAACGAATACACGTGGACTGCGCATGGCTGGCAGAGGAATTCTATAGGACGTCCTTGAAATTCGGGCCCTTCCACGGCGATAGAGCCCGGGAGGTTCTGATCATTTTGGAAATTGAAAGGAATGACCGACAGGAGGTGGCTCCGGAAACTAGGGAGGCCATAATCCGCCGTGAGGTGGCAGCAACACCCTGTTATGTGGACGATGTGTTCAAACTGTTCGAAGTACTATGGTTCGACTAAGCGCAGGAAAGCCGTGGGGCCGGGCAGATATGGGAAAAATTGCTAAGATAAGGGAATGGGATGCCTGGCCATCGTAGGGTTCCGGGCAGATTGCGAGTTAGGAGATCGAAGGCGAGTGCGCAATGGCGCGAAGAAGGACGTTCCTTGAGGAACGCCCCTTGGGCATTGAACCGCCGAGGGAAGTACCGGGTGGGGTAGAGGTTAGCTTGCCGGCGACAAATGAAGGCTGGCACCGGGTGACAGATTGGGTCGGGGTCGAGCTTGCGGAAAATATGGTTTACTTGGTGACGAAAGTTGAGTGGCGTACGGAAGAGAATGGGGAATGGAACCCGGACCCGCGGGGGCATGTGCGTGCAGAAGGACGGTTGTATGTGTCGGAGGATGGGTGGAGGGAGTTCGGAGTTCGGCTGGCATCAGGAGAAGACCCATTGAGCATGTTTGAAGGGGCATGGCAGTTAGTATGGCAGGCGGGGTTCGATTTCGCGGATCCGAGGTTTGACGACGTAGGGTACCCATGGTCGGGAGCTTCGAATTGCCTAGTGAAAATGTACGAATGAGGTTGTCGCCCTTCCTGCTGGAAAGGCTGGGCGGGCTGGGACTTGTTAGACGAGCAGTAGCCGAGCTCGCAAGCTTGACATACGAAGAGGCAATGGTACATCGAGAATATTATCGGGCCTTTCTAGAAATGGGCCCGTTCAGTGGAGAGCAGAAGTATGAGGTGCTGCACATCCTACGTGCCGTGTTTAGCACCAGGCCGAGGGCTCCGGTGGTGGGAAGTGAGGTCCTGTGGAGTGTCATCCGACGAGAAATAAGTCGAGGGACGGTGTACATAGATGATTTGTACCGATTGTACGAGCTGATGGACGTAGGGACGGATCAATAAAAGAGGACAAGGAAAGGGAAGGAAGGTTCAAGCTAGAAATCGGGGAATGGTTCGGGCAGGAGCTGAAGATTAAATAAAATTAGTAAGACCGCTTGCTGTTTACACTGTGCAGGGGGCTACTAAATCAAAAATGGCGATGGGACGCGCCCGGATGCTGCGACGGTCCATACACCCGCGGCCACCCACGGAGAGTGGAGGCGGATGGGAGGTATCGCTCCCAGCAAACTACATGATCCAAGGATTGGACATCGAATGGAGGGCCGTGGCCCTGGGAAGAGGACAGGCATTCATGATGGTGGAATGTTTGTGGGATGGTATGAGGATTAACAGGGGACCGGGAGACGACCTGTATACGGATCTTAAGGTGACGGGGACTGTATACCTGCCAGATCTCGGATGACACATATTGGGGACGGAATTGGCACTAGGGCATGGGTTGTTGCCGATCTTCCAAAGGGCTACTAGGGTACTAAACCGGATAGGCCAGGAAGTGCGAGGGAGAAGAAATGTGGGGTTAAGGACTCGGGTGGAGGTAGGAGGTTGGTGAGAGTTTAAGGCCCCAATGACCAGGCTGAGGTGCCGAGTACCTCGCTTCATGATAGACCTGGTATTCGGCAGCCTCAAGAGGGGAAGGGAGTTGGTGGACTCGACCCTGGTCTGGATCCACCTCTTTCGACCATAAACAACGAGCATGTTCTACGATGTGTCGGTCAGACATGGGCCGTTCTGGGGGAATCAGGCCTGGGAGCTACTCGAATTACTCGAGATTCTGATATTCGGATTGCCCCACCTGTCATTTGAAGAATATGAGCCAATAATTATCAGGGAAATAGAGATGGGGGAAAATTACCTTGCGGGGGTGGCGGACTTGTTCGAGGAACCGGATGAGCAGGGCAGGCCCGAGGAACCAGCATGAGAAAAACATGTCAGAGAGAAGTAGGGAAATAGAGAATGGGTACTGAGATAAGTAGGCAGCCATCAGCAAAAGAGAGGTAGTGGTTGGAGTTCCGGCCGACCCAATGATGCGGCAGGGAGGAACTAGGAAGACCACCCGCTCCGAAGATTCTGGGGCACCTGGATGCCAATAAGCCGAAAAGGCCATCCCCGATAGGGAAGCCACTGGGCTCAGGTACCGCCCTAAGAACCAAAGCGCGGCTGTAATGAAATGCCAAAGCGGCAGTGGCAAGGCTCCGGTAGAAGAAAACCTGAAGGAAGCCCGGGGGAGAAAAGTCAGAAGAGTCGTACTGATTAAGGAAAGATGCAAAAATATGGGAATAGGCGGGTTTTTGGGCCGGAACTAGGGCAGTTATGAACAATCGGCCGCATTTTCGCAAAAAAAAACTTTCCATGTGCAGGCTAGGTAAAGAAATGGCGACGGAGGAAGGGATCGATGACCAGCAAAGCGGAGGGAATCAGGGCACGAATGGGAATGGGGAACGAAACGAGGGATCAGCCAGGGATCGAGAGTCAGCCAAACTGGAAGGGACCCGAGAAGACGGAAAGGACGCCTCAATTGGAAAAAGCTCGGGGAAAGCTTGGGGTAGCAAAAGGGGACCTCAGGAAAACAGGGAAGGGGGAAACGATATGAGAACAAGTCCTCGGAACTCAGCAGGAGCCACCCCTAAAAAGACGAAAGTCTTGGATACCAGTCATAAACTGGCAGAGATAGAGAAGCGGACCGCGGAATTTAAGGCAAGACTTATCGAGCAGATGATGGTCGGGGATGAGGAGGACCTCCAGGACGCAGGGTCGCGTGAGGGACGCAGGACCGGTCAGGACGAGGCTAGGTATGAGGGGAAGAATGATAGTCACAAAGGAACGCCTAGCAAGAAGGGGAAGGACAAGAGCGACCCCCCAGCGGAAGGAACGGAAAACGCTATGAACCCACCCGCCATTGACAGCGGCACTAGCAGACTACCCGCCAGGCCGAAAGTAACAGGGGCGTGTGACGGACTCTGGAGCCTTAGGGAGAGAGTGCTAGGATGGTTCGACCTAGAAGGAACACCGAAAACCAGGGAGAAGCAGAGGGAAAGCAAGGAAGGGGAAGGAGTCAGTGCAGCCGGGGAAGCAGGTGGCTCCGAAGACAGGCTCAAGAAAGTAGTCGCCACCCTCAACAGGACATTGAACAAGAATCAGGGGCATCTCGCAGATGCAAAAAAGAAACTCACGTTCGATGGGGCCAACATTACGGAATTTCTAATAGACTATGAGAACCTACCAGCCTTACTGAAATGGACGAAAGAGGAAAAGATGGAGCACCTAGGACAGCACGTATCGTTAAGTTTAGGAAGGGACATTATGGCCATCGTCGCCTCCAGTGGATCCTGGAAAGAGACCAGGAATGAAATGATGAGGAAATACCTGAAGGCAGAAAAAATGGCAACAGAGGCAGAATTAGTCGCAGTCCAGAGGAAAAACTTTGCAACCTACAACGATTTCCTGAGGGCGTTTACGTTAGTGGCTCTGCGAATTCCTAGGGTAACGGACCGCATAATGAGTAAATACTTCCTCAGGCAGTTCTCCGAGTTCGATAAGGATAAGATTTTGTCAGCATACCAGCAGACCAGTAAGTTCGAGTACACAAGAGATGTGGACTTCAGCACCGTAACAGACCTTGCGGAAAAGACAGTGGTCACCGAGACACTAGCCTTGCTTAAGGAAGGGGAGGTCATAGATCTGACCGGGAAAACAGGAGACAAGGTTAAGAAAGGGATAGAAAGTCTGCACGAGCGAGTGCATTAGGTAGACAACAAGATGGAAAGAATGGAAAACGCGCTGTTACTAATGCAGGCGCAAGTATCCAGACCCGCCCTCCCGCCCCAAGAGGCCGTGGTTCCGGCAGCCGTAGCAAACCGGGGATTTGGCAGGAGGGACCCGACCAACGAACAATGCAAGTATTGCACCATGATCGGGCATTTCGTACGGGCCTGTCCGAGACTCGATCACGATATCGAGCGGCAGAGGTGCAGTAGGTCCCTCAAAGGCGAGATCCTCGGACCCAGGGGAGAGCGTGTCAATTGGAACTCGCCAGGAGGGATGCGGCGAGCCGTCATTCTCCTGAATAACCTAAAAATAGTTGTCGTAGAAGCAGAACCGATAGCCGAGATTGTTTGGGACCAACCAAGGGGACGGGGACCATAGGCTAATTTCATCCTAGAAGGCAATGGCCAGGATAGGGTAAACATCACTACCCGACGGGCTGGCGCGGAAAAGAAGCTCATCCGAGACACAGTAATGGAAGAAGCCGCGGGGGCTAGTACAGAGCAGGAGGAAGCTGAGGCCGGGGAACAGGAGAAGGTCTACGGAAAAACGAGGGAAGAGGAACCGGTAGACAAAGCCACGGCGACAAAAAAGAAATTCAGATACCAGATTTCGATTTTGACGCTGCCCGAATTAGATGACACACTTAGCAAACTTCTGGGCACCATGGTCTCAGTATCCTTTCAGACCATGCTGCAGGCAAACCCGAGACTGCTCAAGGGCCTCAGGCAGCTATTGACGCGTAAACGTGTAGAAGTAGAGGAGGCTCCAGAACTACAAGAACAAGGACCCGAGGAGGCAGAGGCGCCACAAGGAGTCTCTAACCTCCAAAGCATTCCAGGGGGCTTGGAAGACTTGGAAAAAGCCTTTGCCGATATTCGTCTGAGTCTGCCGGACCGAGAAGGTGGCGAAGTAATGAGGGCACCGCCCGACACTAAACTTAGCTTCCACGCACTCCCTGTAGGCAAACTTAAAGTCCAGATCGGAACCCATCACACTGACGCATTAGTGGATGGCGGCGCAGAGATTACCCCCATACGACAAGATTTCGCAACAATCATCGAATGCACAATAAACAAGGAAGTAGCAGGGAGTATCAAAGGAGCAGGCGGAGAAATTCCCTTCACCGGGTACGTCACCGAATGCGCGGTCAGGGCAGGAATTCAGGAATCCATTTGGTCTTTCCAACGGATGACCGTCATGGAAGAAATGGACCATGACATAATCCTTGGGAGACCTTGGTGCGCCAATGTAGAAATGATTGGCATGCACTTGCATGACGACACGTACATGGTAGACATAGAAGATCCGGTGACAGGTCGCGGAGAACTCCTCCGACTCCTCGGAACTGAAGGGGACCCTCCCAAGGGTAAATTGGCAAACTGGTCGCCGACGTTTGAAGAAAGCGCACGGAAAGGCGCAATCACACGGATGGAAGGTATGAGAGAAAGAGTAGAAATCATGATTGAGGAAGTCTTTAGCAAGAAGGAGTGGATTAAGATGGGCCTACCCCTGAAGAAAAGGAGGCAAGAGGATGAGGCCCTGGAAGTTATGGTGGCAGAAAAAGAGTCGGAAGTCGAACTTGGGGTCAGCCTGCCCAAACCAAAGGAAGGCCGGAACGAAACGTCGGAGGTAGTACTTGAAATCCCGGATTTATTACAACTCATTAAGGCCATCAGGTACCACAAAGTGGGGGTGGACCTCGCAGCGCTTGCCAGATTTGAGGATGGGGTTCGAAAGGGCTACTGTCTGAATGGGAAGCTAGTCAGCATCCAGCCCCGCGTCTCGGAGGTAGCAAGGCCGATCCCGACCGTTCATTTTTTAGGAGAATGATCCCCGAAGGTAGTGTGCGAAAGTATAAACCCGTAGGCAAGAAGGCCAAGCCGGTCTCGATCCTAGTAGAAACGTCAAAGGAAGAGGCCATGAAGAAGGAGGAGGAAATCTTGCGGGTAATAAGGGAGAGACGAGCAACGGAAGGGCATCGCATACTAGATGAGGTAGCAGACAACATGAAAATAGAAGTGGAAGGGTTTCTAACAGCAGAAGAAACTCAATTGATAAGAAAGACATGTCAGGAGATTCATTTAGCTTTCGCTTTCAACGACCATAAAAAAGGGCGATTGGACGCAGAGCTAGTTCCCCCTGTCAGGATCCACACCGTACAGCACGAGTGTTGGAATGATAAAGGGCCCGCCTATAAGTTTGGGATAGCAGCGGAGGTCACCGACCTGCTCAGAGCTAAGATAGATTCTTTCGTGGTTGAACCCACCGCATCCCCCTACGCAAACAAGTGGTTCGTGTTCAGGAAGCCCGATAAGACGCTCAGGTGGATCCAGGACCTGCAAAAGCTCAATGCGGTAACAATTAGGGACGCAGGCTCGCTTCCACAGGCCGACTTATTGGCAGAATCTCATGCCGGGCGGAGCATTTACTCCTTGGTAGACTTGTACTCAGGATATGATCAGCTGCCGCTCGACGCGAGGGATAGACCGTACACCGCAATGCACACCCCCGTAGGACAGTTGTAGATGCAAGTGACCCCTATGGATTTCACAAATGCGGTAGCAGAGGCGCAAAGGAGGATGCTCGCCGTCACAGGGGATATGTTTCCAGAAAAGTGTGAACCGTATATAGATGATAACCCCGTAAAAGGCGCAAGATACAAGGACGAGACAGAGGTCGAGCCGGGCGTGCGAAAATTTGTCTGGGACCACCTGCAGGATATCAAGGATCTCCTACAGCGGTTCTTGCTCTATAATATTACCGCAAGTGGGCCAAAGAGCATCCTGGCTGTCCCGGAAGTAACTATACTGAGATTTCGTTGTGGGGCCTATGGGAGGAGACCCGACCCAGCAAAGACTGATAAGATCTCTCAGTGGCCGACGCCCCTGCGTACTATGACGGAAGTACGAGCCTTCCTAGGGGTGGTTGGATTCTGGAGGATCTTCATCAAAGATTTCGCAAAGATAGCAGAACCTATCCGCGCGATGATTAGGGAAGGTGGTACAATGGATTGGACTGAGGATAGGGAAGAGGCAGCCCAAACCCTCAAAGACATCCTGTCGTCCGATCAGGTCACTCTAGCAGCACCCTGTTTTAATGACGAGGTAGGACGGCCCTTCATCTTAGAAACAGATGGGGGACCGCTGACAGTTGGAGGAGTATTGATACAGAGAAGCGAGGAGGGCAAGGAAAGGCCAATCAGATTTGAAAGTAGAACCCTGAATTCGGCAGAACGGCGGTACTCACAGTTCAAGAAGGAGGTCCTAGCGATTCTGCATTGTCTTAAGACCTTCCAGGCATACCTGTTCGGGACGCGATTTATCCTAAGGATCGATCCTACCAACGTCGTCGGGGCCCTAAAGAACTACAAGCCTATAGACCCGACCGTTGGCAGATGGATAGGCTTCATATGGCAATTCGATTACAAGGTCGAGCGAATTGCAGGACTTCGAAATAGGGCAGATGGGCTGAGCAGGGTATGTATCACGCTAGAAAGAGTAGAGGACGCGGAACCAGTTGACGTCTTCCTAGAATACGAAGGCGGGACCCTTGTTGTGGATAATGAGATGACAGATCCAGCAATTACAACAGGTCAGTTGCTGATTCAGACCTTGGAAAAAGGCACGCCTGCAGTAGTTGCAGAACACAGGGAAGGACCAGCCACCTCGGTCAGGCGTAGAGAAGAGAAGGACTCGTGAGGAGCAGAAGTAGGGACCAGAGAAGAGCTGATGGCGATGGTCGTAGAAGGGGGAAGGGACGCCGTGATGACATTGGCCGAGACCCGGGCACAAAAGGAGCGTCAGTACCTAGTCAATCTCGCTCGGGAGGAGCGGGGTATGGATCAAAACGAACAGGAGTTCTTCCTCATACAGATGTATGAGGGCGTCTTTAGAGAAATCGTTTTGCTGCTTGTAGGGAACAAACAGCCTACGGAAGTCAGCTCCAAGGCAAGGGAGGAAGCTGAGAAGTACGTCTTAAGAAATGGTCACCTGTTTAAGAAAGAGGAAGGTATGATGCCTAGGCGTGTCGTTTGTGGGAGGTCTAGGCAGCTGGACGTAATTCAAGCAATGTATGATGGGCTAGTTGGGGGTCACCGGTCGTCCAAGGGAACATTTGCAAAGATCGTGCCCCTGTACTTTTGGCCAGGGATGGCAGGCATGGTCGCAACGTATTGTCAAATGTGTCTGATATGTCAAGAAAGGAGCACCGTACGGGTTTACGAGCCCCTTAGACCCACCCGGGTACTGGGACCCGGACACCTTGTTCACCTCGATGTTGCCGTTATGCCCGTATCGACGGATGGGTTTAGATACATCTTGGATGCAAGGGATAATCTCAGTGGCTATGTAGAAGCCGTAGCCCTCAAGAAGAAGACAGGGAAAGCAGTGGCCGACTAGGTGGAAGATTTCTACCTAAGGCACCCCTTCGTACGCAGGTTCATAGCAGACAATGGGACAGAATTCGTTAACCAGGAGGTGTTGAACAGGCTTAAGACACTGTGTGTACCGATCAAGATCACCGAGCCCTACCATCCTGAGGCAAATGCACCGGTAGAAAGGGGTCATCGGACACAATCGCAAAGTTGGCAGCAGATAATTTGGGAAATTGGCCACGGTTTCTCAAGCAGGCAGTCTTCGCCGAGAACATGACTCCAAAAAGAACAACGGGATGTATTCCAGCAGAGCTCTGGTATGGAAGGGAGATCGATTTTTCGATAGAAGCTCTGGTCCCTACCTGGAACAGGCTAGATGACAACCCACACTTGAGCACGGAAGAGTTAATCACCGCACGTTGTCAGCAGGTTGTCAGAAATGAGGAGGCACTCGACGGAGTAGTCAATCGTGTGACGGATAGCCGAATGAGGGATAAAGCAAGATGAGACCAGGTTAAGAACATTCGGAAGGAGCCACTCCAAGTGGGGGAAAAGGTGCTAGTTAGGAACTCAGCTCTTGAAAGCACATGGTCCGGGCAGCTGGGAAAAAGATTCAAAGGGCCCTACAGGATCGCTAAGCGGGTGGGACTGAACACATTTGAACTTGAGGATCTCGATGGTACTAGCATAAGAGGGTCTTTTCCTAGACAGAGACTGGTCAAATTTTTTAGCAGGGATCCGGTGGAACAGTGGCTACAAGAGGCTCAGGACAGGGAAACAGGGGATTTGACAGCTTGAAAGGCAGGAAGTTGGCTATAAATGCTGGACCGCCTCCCTGTGGAAGTAATCATGACCACAGGGATTGTTCTTTTGTGTGTCTTGCTTTTGTGGAACGTGGGGAGACTGCCTGGGCTGACTGTGACGGGGCTTGGGAGCACGGGACAGTGTATTATAGTTTTTTGTGGGGTAACGTTGGGAACTGTTTGCACGAGGTATTTATGCGTTGGGACAATGTATCATAGTTTTTGTGGGGTGATGCTGTGGACTGCTTACATGGGGCACCTATGTGTTGGGACAATGTGCCGAGGGTTCTAAGGGATAATGGGAGTACCAACTACATGGGGGCAAGCAAGAGTTCTAGGGAAGCCTCCAAAGCCGCAAATGGGAGTGGAAGGGAACGCGTGTGTATGAGGGGTGTGGTGACTATTATGCATGAACAGGACCAGGTAAGGAGCAAACAACAACCGGTAAAATGGAATTCGGAAATGAAAATGACAGCAACGCTATCAATAGGCCTACTGAGGGGCAGTCATTGAGGCAGGCTGGGGAATCAAGCTCCAGGAAGAGGAAGTTATATGTGGGGTTTGACCATAACCTGGTGCTAAACAGAGGGGGTAGGAAACAAGGAACCAGAGGGCCATCACCACTGAAGGAAGGGGAGCCAATAGAGCTGCCTTCAGAGAGTGATCCTAGCAGCGAGGAAGAGGGGAACCCAGAGGAGGGACAACGGCCGGGGGAGAATGAGCCAGTGGAGTTCATTGACCTCACCAGCGATGAGGAGGAGGATGAGGTGACAACGCCCACAAGAGAAGAACGGGGAAGAAGGGAGCAACCAGGTGAGAAAAAGGACAAGTGGATAAAAGAGTTCGGATACGAGTTCAGCGACCGGTTTGATCAATGGGGCACCATCTTGCGATACCAGTGGATCATGAAGGCAAGGGAAAAGCTGGGCAGGGGAGAGGATCTATCCCCAACAACCTTCTTCACAGAACAGACACTCCTCCAGTTCCAAGGGGTAAAGAGGCAAATGGAGTAGGAAGGGGAGAATCGCGCAAGGAGGGAGGCTCAACGCAGGCCACCTGGACGATAGAGGCACAACAGCCTCTGTTCTTGTGGGAGGGTTTTTTCCCGAGGTAGTCAGAGCTGCCATTTTGGATTTCGCATTTGAACTGAATTTTTTTCTAAGCCCGAAGTGACTAAGGACTGGGTAGTTAGCGCTACTTCGCACGAACAGTTGCTCCTTCAAGGAAAGGCATGAGGGTTTTGCACTTAGAATAGAATTCGGGATGGTTGGGTAGATTAAGGGAAAGGAAAAAGGAAAAAAACAGCAGGGTCCAGACGAACACGAGTTTGTAATGTTGTCTTTACATTCCAACTCTGTCTCCTTATTTTTTTGTAAGGACTGCAATGAAACTACTTTTTGGATTGAGGGAGCTAGTAGAGGGTGGGTGATCAGGGTTACTTTGTATAAGTACTCGCTCCGTTTGGGGAAATATGAGCTTTTTGGTAGAAAGAAAGGGATTGGGGGGGGGTGATTGACTTTGTCTCGAGAAAATGCACAGCGACATGTGAACTCTCAAACGTTGGAAGAAACAGTCAGGGCAAAAGTCTTTCTTTTGAGTTGTGTATCCATGATTGAATGAGTCATTGCATGAGCCCTTGTGAGAGGCTAGGGGACCTATGGGTAAAGAGACATCCTCTTCCCTAGGAGCCTAATCCAACGTACTGCAGACAAGTCTAGACCTTTGACAAGCTTTCAGAAAAGTGGCAGGGAAACATTAAAATGATCCAGCAGCCCTTGTAATGGTTGAACGGCCAGGCGGGCTAGTACTGCTTGGGGCCGCGAGCCTCAACTTGAGTACTAGACGCTAAGTCGGATGTATGGATGATTGTCAGAACGACAAAAGACATGAGGAAAAGGAAGAAGCATGCGAAAAACCCAAGACGATGGCCGCCTTCTAACCCCCGAGACGAGATAGGATCCGTGTCCTCGAGGCCCACCCCCTCGGGCGCTAACATTGAAATGGACAAGGATGACCCCAACCAGGCTGTCCAATTGAAATGGATAAGGATGGTCCTAACCAGGCTGTCCAACTGCAATGGATAAGAATGGCCCTAACCAGGCTGTTCGACTAGGAATTGGAAAGAATGACCCTAACAAGGTTGTTCGGAATGACCCTGACAAAGGTCATTCTTTGGAATTGGCACTAGGGTCCCCTTGCATGGCTGCTTGAGATGCATGATATTGGAAGAGCTGAGCTTTGGAAACGAGATTGGACTGAGCTTTGGAAAAGAGATTGGAAGAGCTGAGCTTTGGAAAAGAAATTGGACTCAGCCTTGGAAAGGATAATGGACTCAGCCTTGGAAGAAATATTGCATTGAGCATTGAACAAAGATTGAGCATTGGACTAAGATTGAGTATGGGAATGAGATTGAGCTTTGAACTTGGATTGAGTATCGAAAATTGCATTGCATAAACAGGGGACCTTAGGCAACTTGAAATGGACTTGGAAAGAGCATTGAAATTGAATTTCCTTTTTCTTCTAGTTTTTGGCCTCAGCAAGAGGGGGATACCGATGCATGCACCGCAACCCCAAAGACCTCTATCCCTTTGAGGAAAAAAGTCTCAGCGCGACCTGTTCCTCTTCAAGGGGATGAGGGTTAAAGGACTAAGGCACCGACCACTTGGATCGGTGCGGGACGTCCGGAACTAACCCCGACAATGAGCTCTAGCCGGGGAGTTCAAACTGCGCCTCCTGTTGAACGCCTAAACGCCAAAGGGCGAGAAATCCAAATGGGCGAGGATGCCATTCTCATCTAGTCTATTTTGTCCTCTCCAACCACACGCCATGTCATAGAGGGGTGCCATGGCCGTTTGGGTCGGACCTCGGCTGCCCGCACTAAGTTGGGCAGCACTGTCCAAGGGAAGGGACTTGGCGGAGTACCGGGTGGAGTCCGCGGCCACCACGGGGCATTGACACCGCCGCGCCGGAGCATTACAACCGCTTCGGGACTAATTGCGAGGTCTTCGTAACTGCACTCGCGAACTGACCGAGAGCCCCAACTCTCTTGAAAGGAAGAGGCCGGAATCCAGAAAATCACCACCCGGGAGGGACGATTCGCGAGGAACGCTCTTACGGCTAGACGAGGCCCTGGGAGACTTGGATTGGACCGGCCTGCCAGATGCGGGGAGGAACCTCAGTATTGGTGATCGCCACGTAAGAGAAGAAAGGCCGAACCGAGTAGGAGGATGAGGCGTCGTCCGTTGGGGAGGAACTGATCACTCTTCCTTTTGTGAAGCGGATGGGCTTGTGTCCTTGACTTGCGGTTGGTGGGCCAAAGGTCTCGTGCCTCCGAGTGAGGACCGGTCGCGTGATGGGGACATCGCGTTTTGAGTGGGGGGAAGGTGTGCCATCTACCAACGAATACGCATAAAAATAAGATTGTAATTGCATTTGCATGGACTTGGAAAAAAGGGGCCTGTCAAGACGGCCGGAACAGAAAAAAATTGTAATTGGTTTTGCACGGGCCTGAGAAAAGGGGCCTAGACCTGGAATTGGCTCGCATGGGCCTGAGAAAAGGGGGGGGGGGCCGACAAGAGGCCGGGACAGAAAGGACTTGAGCAAGTAATTGGCATGAGCTTGGAAACGGGCCAGGCGAGACGTTCGGAAAAGAGAAGAGTTGTATGATGAACTTGCATGGACTTGAGAAAAGGACTGGCAGGCTGGGAAATGGCTGTGTGATTGGCTTGCATGAGCTTAAAAAAAAAAAAAAAAAAAAAAAAAAAAGTTTGAAAAAAGATGTTCAAAGGATGAACCGAGCATTGTACATGCAAAGCTAAGAAAGAGGCAGGAAAAAACAAAAAGGGGTGATATGCATGCGGAACTAGCAGGACCTGAGAAAGGCCGGGAGAAATAACCCGGGAAGAAGGCATGTGAACTTGGCTAGGTCTGAGCTTCGGGAAGAGCAAAAATTCTGCTGAAAATGTGTGGATGTCCTAAGAATAATGAAATGGGAAGATAGGTTTGAGATTACGAATGCAGCCTTCAAGACATTGTCGAGAGCGAGAAATAACGTACAATGAAAAACTAGTTGCAGGGCATGTCTGCGGACGGACCTCCCCAAAAGGATAGTGCTAGACAACTTGGTGAGGAAAGAAAGAAAGAAAGAGACATCAAGTTGCTAAGCTTCTTGACATGTTCCTAGCTCACACCTGAAGGAAGCCAATGGCGAATGATCCTCGTGACATTCGCCGCCAAAATTTTCCTCTTACCGCGGTCCCTGGGGAGGGCGATGGGCTCGTCGTCCTCTCTTTTATGGGACGATACCAAAGGTTGTTGGAAAGCTCTTGGGTATTTGGGAGTTCCAGTGAGAAAGAGATACAACTGTGAGACGGACGTTGATGCACAGAGAGTGTTACGCGCTCGTTACAAAGACATTATTGAAGGAAACCCGAAACAAACCTTGACCCCTCCATACCCTCCCCCGCCCCGAGGGGCGGAAACTTAAAGAAGGACCCGAGAAAAGAATGGGAAAGACAAAAAGAACCCTCGCAAGCTAACTACTCATCCCACCCCACTCCTCTCCCCTGTCTGTCTGTCACTCCAAAATCCCTACTGACCATGGATTGATGCGCGATGAGGACATCGCGAATGAGTGGGGGGAATATGTCGGGACTCGTGAGTCCCGAACGATTTCCCGTCACTTGAAGGACGGTATATGACCAATTTGTGCACGGCAGAGAAAACCGGAGGCGGGAATGCTGGAAAGATCGGAAGCAGAGATGAGCACCGGGTACCCAGACCCGCACCCACCTGCACCCACCCCACCCACGAGGACATTGGGTCAGGTGCGGGTCTTGATAAGAAGACATGGGTGGGATGAGGGCGGGTCAAGGCCAGGCAGCCTGGGTGGGTGACAGGTGGGTCAACATTAGGGCTGGGTCACCCGAGCGGGTGGGTGACAGGTGGGTGAGTGCTAGGCCTGGGTCACCTGACCCACAGACCCAGGACAACCCATGAGGACCCCCCCCCCCCAAATCCCTGCACGAAATGTCCACCTGCTTAAAAAAGTCGAGGGTGCATGCACGAAATGTCAAGTCCCGTCGTCGGCCTGCCTAGAAAAAAAAAAAAAGGTCAAGATCCTCCTGAAAAAAAAAAAGCAGGAACCTTCTATCAAATTTTTTGCATGCTACTCTTGCCTCTTGGCGGCTGCACCACAGCCCACGTTTGGATGAGTTACCGCTTTCAAACGGGATGCTGAGTTTCGCTCGCATTAAAACAACAGGGGGCGAACCTAACCACAACAGGTGGCAAGGTTCGCTCCCCACTTTTGAACTTCTGGAGCGCTTTGAATTTTGGCGCTGTCATCCAGCGTCGACACAAATTGTGCATGGTTCAGCAGCAGGGAGGAGGTGGTGGGGCGGTGATGAGGGGGGCAACGCACCGACGGCCTGGGGAGCAACAGCACGGCTGCGAGCCACGCACCGACGGCCTGGGGAGCCACGCACTGACGGCCTGGGGAGCAACAACACTGCTACGAGTGAGCAACAGTCGAGAGAGAGAGAGAGAGAGAGAGGGCCAGACTCCACTTTTTTGCATATCTCCACAAACACACTCCGATTCGGGCGTGAAATCCGATGCTAGAGAGAGAGAGAGAGAGAGAGAGAGAGAGAGAGAGAGAGAGAGAGAGAGAGAGAGAGAGAGAGAGAGAGAGAGAGAGAGAGAG